TGGAAGCAGAACGGGATTCCCGCTCGCCGTAGTTCTGCTCGCCGCTGTCGCTCATGACTCCGGGTTCGACGTCGCCGCTCGCTGGGCTTCAATCGAAGCTGCCAAGCTCTCGCGTCTTCTTTGGAGGCTTCGCCGCAGCCTCTCAGGACACGCCGGTTGCTGAGTCGCTCAGAGACGAAGCGCTCCGCACCACCTCCGCAAGGGCTCTCAATGTTCTAAATTTAAAGAGTAAAAAATATAAACTAAATATCTGTCCTTAGGCCCAAATCAATGTAATTTTTAAAAAGTACTCCACAATATCATCCTTAATATCATGTTATACTGTATACTTTACATCAAACATAATTTTTGTAATAAAGTAAGTTTAATCAAAAAATTCTATGAATAAATGTTATACAATGAAACTGAAGAGAGAAGTGAAAGAGTAAGGAGAATAATGTAGTTGAAGTTACTCAAACTTTAAAATTCCTTAATATTTCAAATATAAAATCATAGCGCAGTTTGAGAACACCATAGATAGTGCAAATGTTGCTCTTCAAGCCTCAACAGCTGCTTTCAAAATAGCTTTTACTTTAAAGGATTTTACTTTAGCAGGTTCATCCATAGTCCCCAGATACACCAACTATAGATGTTAAGCTTTTCTTTGAAACAAAATTCATTTGTAAAGCATTGATTCTAGCCTTTACACTAACCACTGAGGTCTGTGATTTTCTAAACATATTAATGCTATGCATGCTTTGAAACATTTATAGAATCACAGACTTTTAAATCCAAGATATACCTAAGAATCACCTCATTAGAAATTCTTATTTTATGGCAGGGTCATCTAAACCCCAAAGTGATTTGTTTGAGATCTCCATTCAAGTTAATGACAGAGGAGGGCCCAACATCCAGGTGTCTGCTTCCTTTTGAAAAATATGTTCAGGGAGAATCAGTTGAAAATGGTGGGGTGCTAAGGAGCAGAGAAAGAGCCTCTCAGAACTGGTGCTTATGAAGAGTCATTACATATTATTTCTTCAATTTTTCTGTGCATATGAAGCCATCCTTAAACAACATGTATTCACAATTTTAATTAATTCATGTTCATAATAACATTCATAGTCATCATCATATTTCTTTAATGTGACAAAAATAGCAAAATGCAGAGAAAATTTAGAAGAAAACAACAATATCAAAAAATCATAATATTTTTTCACTATCAAGTTTGCATAGACAAACATACAGATAAAACTTTTCTTCCCATATAATTGTATGCTGCTACCTATATATGGTCATTAAATTCCACTTCTCAGTATGCTTCTGAGGATCATACTGGAAACTGGATTTGGGACCTTTACATACTGTAGGCAGCAATTAAATTTTAGGAACATTGTTTTCTCTTCCTTAGGAGAACCCTTTACACACTCCAAGTTCACCTGAATTACATTATTTTTAGTGTCTTTTTCTTCAACATGCTAAGACTATTTTTGAAACACAACTGGACAAAAGATCCATTAATTTTCCCAGTAACATTATGATTTTGTTGTTGGCTATTACTTATTTGCATTCTTCAAAAAACTAAAACCCTTAAATACCCAATTACCTATGTGAATGACAACTAGTTGGAAATGATTGTCACCCCACAGTGAAAAGAATAAACCATGCTGACTTTGAAATCTTAGAAATCGCCAATACCATCTTAAAGATTAAACAAAAGAAGACAAAACATTTTCCAGCGTACTTAAGGTCATGTTCTCTTTTAATATTTAATATAAGGTGCACACAAAGGCAAATCTTAGAGAAGGGGGAGTGAAGAGCAGATAAATACTTGCAATTAGGGATGTGCACAGCCTGAAACTTTGGAGTAAGACTAGATTAGCTGATTACTAATGGCTCTGGGTTCCCTTAGAGAATGGAAAAATTTTAAAAAGAACCCAACATTGATCAAGAGGACATTTTTCTCTTCTGTTTCTCCCTTAACTCTCTCTGTCCCAATGGCTCTTATTGAACAGTCCAACAACACTTTCCTGACTTTCCCGATTTCTATATAGCTTACTTCTCTTTCTAGAAACTCAATTTATTTCTGTCGTCTCTACCTGTGGTTTCAACCCAGCTCCATCACATTCTACTGTCTCTAACACATCCTTGAAATGAAACTTGAGTAACATCTCAGGGCCACTTCTTAGTCACCTTCTGCTTGATTTTCTTGTAATACTTGACCTGTTTTTTTCCCCCTGTTTAACACTTTAGACACCATTCCTTTCTGTTCTGCCTTTCCTTTTGTACTACTGCTTCTTTTACTCATCATAAACTCCTCTTCTTCCACCCAGCTCTTTTAAAATGGGACATTTCCTCATGCCATTCTTATTTCTGTTTTTCATACTATCATGCTGTTTCCACATGACACCATGTGTTCCCATAGTGCTACCTGCTGTCTGTATGTGAACAACTCAAAACTCAGACCTCTCTCCTAAAACCATACAATATGTCTGCCACTAGATGTGTGCATTTGAGATTCAACTCAATATGACCCAAGCTTGGATCATCATCTTCCAACAGAAATTTACTGCTCACTTGTATTGTCTACTTGTTTGCATAACTGCTTCATGGTGAGCTTAGCATGATGGAGAATCAGCTTCACAGTTAACTTCTCTGTAGAAAACTTTTTAATTTGATTCAGTAAGCTGATTCTCAGTATTATTTCCTGTGTAACTGGGGCTCTGTTTAGACTGTCCTTGTGTTCACTTATGATTACAAGATGTTTACTCATTTTATCTTCTAGCTGGTTAATTACTTCTGTTTTCAATTTACTTCTTTGAACTCTTTTGATTTTTTTAATACTTAATGATAAATAGGGGTCTAGATTCAACTTCCTGATTATGGATAACCTGTTTTCACAACACCATTTATTACAGATGCTCTTTGCTCAACTGTATGCTTTTAGCTCCGTTGTCAAAGATCCAATAGTAGCATGTGCTTGGGACTGTTCTGCATCTTTTATTCTGTTCCTTGACCCTCACGTCTGTTTTTGCGCTAGTACTATTTCTATCAGCATTGCTGATACCAGCTGTTCTCCTTCTTCCTATCTTCTCAAAAGACTTAGAGACATAATATTACAGGGGCACACCTATAACTATATTTATAACGATGGCATTCACAAAAGCTCAGTCTTAGAAACAGTCTCTATGCCCATCAACAGATGAACAGATAAAGTGTGTAACTTGAGGAGTACTAATTTGCCATAAAGAAGGAAAAAGTTTAATTATTTTTAGAAAAACAGATGCAACTTGAAATCATGTACCACAATTTTAAGTAAAATAAATCAAACACCGAAGTTTAAATATTGCATACTCTCTCTTACATAACAAAGCAAAGTGCAGATGAAAAAATACGACAGAAAAGTAGTAGAGCGGTATTTTTCAATTGCAAAGAGGATCAAGAAGGGCAAGGAGGGGGAAGGAAGGGCGGCAAAGGAGGTGAAAAAAGAATTGAAATGTGTTGCATTCATGTTCCAAATTCATACAGCATTATGCATTGCAAATGCGCACTAATTAAAGCAAACAAACAAAAACTCCTGATGTTATTTTAGCTTGTTCTGGAATTGTTACTGTCCTGCGCTACGGAGCAAAGTGAAGACGCCTATGAAACACATCTGCACTCAATGAGGATGGAACACGCAAACAACAACGGATTCATTTTCCTAAGTAATGCCCAGGTAAACTTAGAACTCAGGTTATAAGCAGAACAGATAAAAATTATAAACAAAACACAACACAGCCAAAAGATGCACATTCTACGGTATAGGCAATTGATATAAACCTGCATAACATCTGAGATTTTAGGGAAACTCTAGAATGGAAAAGGCAAACAAAAAGCAATAGGACTGTCCAAGCTGTGCCCTCACTAGTACTGGTTAGCTAAGGACCAATCAGAGTCACGTGTCCTTAGGTTCAGCCAATCACGGAGGGAGAGCTCTACAGTTGGGGCGGGAGCACTGTCGGTGCAGCTGCAGCAGTTAGGAGCGCAGGGGCCTGGCTGGAAGCGGGCGTGTCCTTTGGTCCCCAGCACTGCAGAGCCCAGTGCGGCTCCTGTCTCAAGGCCGTGTGCTCTGCTGGTCTGATCTTGCTGCGAGGCCTCCCTCCAGGAAGACCCACGTTTTCTTAGGGATTCCAGACACCCAGTTTACTGGGCGTTCTCTCTCCATCCTCAGGATCATTCCAGCCTCTGTGATTACAGAAACTCCTTTCTGGTGAAGGTCAGAGATGGAGGGAGAAGAAATGGAGAATAGGAGGAAAAGGAGAGCTGAAGGTTCGCTACAGTTAGGGACCAGTGGCCATGGACTGTACTGGTGCAGAGGCTGAAGCAGGAGGGTCCCAAATTTGAGCCCACCTTGCTCAACTTAGCCAAAACTTGTCTCAAATATATTTTTTTAAAAAATGGGATGGGGATGTAGCTTAGTGGCGAATGGCCCCTGGGTACAATCCCTTGTAAATCCCCCCCCCCCAACCTCCGGAACCTCCCTCGTTTGTTTAAAAGCCCAGTTCTGATTTTCGTTTTATTTTCTGGTCCCATCATGATGGTCAACATTTGGAGGGAAGGAAGGGGCAGAAATCACGGCTCACAATAAGAGCCTTAAGGTCTTCAGTAATGGAAAAAACTCCCTGCACCCAAGATTCCCTTACTTAGTGAATGCTGCCTGTTGTCCAAGGGCTGAGAAAATAACTGGAGGAATTTATAGCCTGGTTCTTGGAAACAAGCGCTTCTCAGGACAGAGACGCTGCTAGATACCACTTGATACCTGTTTCACTTCCTGGGAGTTGAACGACTGGGCTGGGAATGGGAGAGCACGCAGGAGATGGAGGAGAGGGAGGAACATTACTTGGGTTGTCCTTGGCTTTTCTCCAGAAGATAATGACCTGAGTTTTTCTTACTCACAGTAAAAAGGAAAATGATAATCCTCTCCATTTTGTTGTGCGGAGGTCTTGCCGTTCTTCTTTGGATAATGCTAAAATTTCCTAAAAAAGGTAAGTGAATATTTGTACTAACAAATTGAGAATATTACTATTGATGAAGTCTGATGCTACCTTTCTTTCACTCTTGTGAACAATTATAATCCATCAGAGTAATGTGCGAATTTAGTCCTCTGTTTTGTCTGCTAGAGGGATCATCAGTCTTCCAGTACATATTGGTTGAGTTCAGGCATGCTATCAGGCGATCATTCAAATGTGATGAGGGCCTGGCCTCCTCCCTGGAAGTAGCTTGTGCCTACAGCTACTCTACCATATACCTCCACAGAATATTAACAGAGTATTCATGTTTTATACCAAGTCCTGTATCATCTTACTCCCTAGTATTGGTCCAGTAAATCTCCTCTCTATTACATCATCATTTTTTCGTTTTCCTTTGACATGCCATCAGCAATATAACATGATAAGATCAATATTTCTAACCTTAAACAAAACTAAATCATTAAACATCATTTATACTTTAGCTACACATTTAATTTTTTTCCTTAATACAGTAATCTCTTTGAAAATATTTATTTGATAGCTTTGTCTTACTTTTTAACTTCCCATCTCTTCCTCTCCCCTCACGCACATTGCACACAGGACCCCTACGCATGCTGAACAGCTGTTGTACAACAGAGCTTTAGCTGTCTACTCAAGGTGCTGATGTTGTAGTTTGAGGGAGTCCTGGGGCTGGAATGAAGCCTAGAGTCTCCCTCTTTCTGGGTATGTGTTCTGCCATTGAAGAACACCCAAGCCCTTCTGCCTTTTTGTTAAAGCCACTTTCATCAGGCTGCCATTTTTTAAAACACTCCTTGAATTTATCTTTCCAATTTATCAATAATTTTAATTTTTCTAAGCACAGTTCGACATTGTCAGCCTTCATTTTACTTCTTCCAATCTTGCTTAAAAGACATCTATCTTATTCTATTTTACCAGACATATTTGCCTTGGCTTTTCACATTCTTCACATTGCTTAAGAAGATCTTTAACCTTAATCCCCCTTTGTGTCACTTTCTTTAATCTTTTACTAGCCATTACTTTCTTATTTGGCATTATCCTGTGGACTGCCTGAAAATCACAGTTCTTTCCATCAATAAACCTAAATCTCTTCACTCTGATCTATCTTATCCCTAATTATATCATTTCAGGTGTGTTAGTTTCATAAAAGTAATTTTTTATGTTATATAAATTTTGGATTCCTAAAGCTACAAATAAAGTAGGGCGATGTGTTCAACTGATAGTTGTTGAAAATAAATAAATGCGAGCATAAGTGAATTAGTGTGCAAAAGACAAAACTGGCTTTGTGGTGACAGTAGTTCGGAAACAGATATTTGAGTCTGTGTATGTTCTTAGTTTGAACTTGTCACTGAAAAATAATTGAGAACTTAATACTTTAAAAAAAAATTGGGGTACTGAATATTTTCACTAGGCTTTCCTACTAACAATCCCATGTATGGAAACATCCTGCTCGGTTATCCTTCCATTTCATTTCATGACCTTCCTATTCATGGATTTGTATTTTTTAATATTAATTTTATTGAGAAAAAAATAGCATTGAGACAGTTTCAAAACATGTTAGTAGGACAGTTACAATAATTAATACATTGCATATTGTCTTCATAGTAGTTATTCATAGCACAAGATGCAGACATGATATCTTGTCTAAACACTATTAGTACAAATCTTTCTTCTCATTGAACTAAGAGAAAGTAGCTGTACATCTATCATATTTTGTGTATACAGATTATATATTTTTTTTCACTACAAAATGGTCCTTCATTAATATCCCCTTTTTTGTTTAGTTTTGTCAGAGATGAATATTCCATTGTCATTCAAATATTGTAGGTGTGTGAATTCAGCAAAATATTCCAATATAGTCCAGTAGTCCATAATAGTAGTGGGTTATCCATAGGACTGGCAAAGTCAGAAGTTGTTGACTTGAGTCTTTTACAGCTCAGCATTTTAATATGGCTTTATTTTTTATACCTCATTTTTATACTTTTTTTTCTCAATGGTTAAGAGCAAGATAAAGCAAGACCTATATAACAAGAAATGTAACTTTTGTATCTGACAGGGTCAGTCAAATCCCCTCAGGATTTACCCTGAAATCCTATTCAACAGTTTGTAGATCTGGCTATGAATCTTTCTTTCATTTAACTTGTGTGGGTGTTTTTTTGAATGTTGGTCCTCTCAGTATTATATCCTCACAAATAATTTCCTCTACCTAGTATAGTAAGTTAAATTGTAAAACCTGGATGGTTAAAAAACTGGTACAATTTCAGCATTTTTCCCTTCTAATTTTCCCCTTCTAGACAAAATGTAAAGTTTTCAACTTTTGGGGAAATATTGCATTTGAGAGACAACTGATTTGCAGCTACATCAATAATTCAGAAACAGGTCTGTGAGATTATGAAATAGATGGATTTGTTTTGCGCTCAGTGAAACTTGTGCCTGATTGCATAGAAAATTCTAGGAATTAAAATAAACAGAGAAGATGATTCCAGAAACAGAAACAAAAAAATGGAAGGAAAAATGGCTAGAATATATGGAAGTTCTGGAGCTTTGCTTGTGTGCTATTGTCGCTTTGGGTTATGAATAGATTCTCATTCCCCAACGATAATTGGTTTCATTCTCCATTGTTGATATTCCCCGCTTCTTGATATTTGAGTTCAAGAGCCCTCTGAGTTGATGTCCAAATTAAATTATTCTAACTGAATGAGAAAGCAAGTCATTCATCAACCTAAACTACATAAAAGTCTTTTACATGGAAGGTCAGACCTTTCCTCTTACATTTTTTTTTTTGTATCACTATGTCAATTTTAGTTGGAATTAGAATATCCAAGAAGAACTGCACAGATGAAATGAGGATATGCCCACCTGCCTGGGAGCTAATCACTCAGAACTGCTTCTTTCAATCTGAAGGTGAAGTTACTTGGGCTGAGGGACAGAGACACTGCAGAACATATTTTGGATCTCTTGCCAAGATCACCACAACCAATGAAATGGTTAGATTCATTCTCAGTGCATTTCTTTCAATTTTAAGAGCTATTGTATGGGAAGCATATTTGTGGGGTTTGATCTCTCAGGCAAGCAAGCAGTTAAGAGTTTTATCTTTGTGGAGATTACAGGCAATGAAAAGCAATCATAGTGAATAAGCAAATTACAGAGTATGCTAGAGATTAGTACGTTCTATGCAAAAGGGTACAAAATAATGGCTTTTACATTTCCATCAACTGAGTAGGTTGCAGACAAAGTTGTAGCCCTTTAAGGTTATTATCTGTGCAAAGATGTAAAGGAGGTAAAGAAGTTAGTCAAGGAAGGGTCTAAGGAGGTAGCCTGAAGAAATCTTCAGGGCAGGGCTAGAACGCTGCAGGAACTGAAAAGAGGTGGCCTGTGAAAGGGCTGGTGAGATAGCTCAGTGGACTAAGCACCTGCTTAGGCAAGCACAAAGACAAGGGATCGATCCCCAGTACCACATGTCCTGCCGGCCCTGACCCCAGGCGTGCTGAGCTAGTGATCAAATCCTGACGTGGTGGCACATGACTGTGATCACAACTCTGGGGAGGCTGAAAATAGGAGGATCACTTTGAGTCCAATTTGCATAGTGACACCCTGTAAAAAAAAAAAAGAGATGGGCAGTCAGTATGTTAAAGAGAAGGGAAGCGTATGGATGTGTATCACAAGGGTCTTGTAAGTTATTGCAAATACTTTAGGTTCTTATTCCAAGCAAAACAGGGAGATGTCCCAGGACTATAAGCAAAATGGCTATATGTTCTCATTCTGGTGATAATAGGATCATTTTCCTTGCTGTGATGAGATTAGCAACTGGGTGGCATAAAAAGGCAGGAAGTTACAGTGCGAGGCACTTACAGTAGCCCTAGCACAAGCATAATGTACTCAGACAAGGAGAGTAACCTTTCATAGAGTAAAAATGAGAAAGGTAGGTGAGGTCTATGACACTAGTCTGTATTTTATCACAGAAATATGTGCTCAGTTACCTGGAAAACTCTACCTATTGGATTGGACTTAGAAAACTTGCTTCTGACACCGTCTGGAAATGGACAGATGGAAGTCCCATTGGCAACTGGTAAGGTGACTAGCATTTATTTATGAGGAGCCGTGCTAAGCTTGGTAAGAACTCTGTATCTGAGTTGCTACCAAGATAGTTTCCTCCACACCCTTCTTGTAACCACTCTTCAACAAGCAGGCACTACAGAGAGTGTTCAGAGAGCCTGGCCTTCCTCAGTGAAGCTTTCCCACGAAGGTCAACATATACTTCCGGGCGTGAGATTGGACTGTTTCATGTGTGAGGCAGGAGAGTGTTCTCTTTATCCTAGACTTCATGTAAGCATCATTAGTTTGCTGCTTGCCTCTGTCCACTTGGACCTGTACTTATTTATTATGGAGGTCGGTCTTGGCACTTCGTCCTTGATGGGAGAGAATTCATGATGTAAGGAAGCCTACTTTTTTGCACAGTCACCGATGTCTTGACTGAAGAAAACTGGAAAGAGGAATCTTTTTCTCATTGTATTTTTATTTAAAACTCCCAAAGTTCTTCTATCTTCCTTAGACCTATTTTAATCTTAGATGTCTTTTTCAACGTATAAATAGTTAAAATTTTCTTTAACCTGAGTAGATAACATTCCCCATTTACTGAGTGGCTACCTCATGACAGACTCTCCTTTTGTGGCAATAGCACAACATACCAAGTACTGTGCTATGTATGTGACATGCTAAATTTAGGAGCAGAAGTTTGTAAGTTTGAGACATTTCTGTGATTATTGTATTTCTGTCATGTTTGGGGTGAAAGTACATCTCAAAATACTTGAGAACGGTGGTGCAACTTGTGAGTAAAAATCATGTTTTAATTTTGAAAAAGTGAAATAAAATATTCTATTCTATTTTAAATTGATTTTTCTGACTAAAATATAGGCTAATATTTTCTGTTGAGAGAAACTTTTTTTTTTGCAGAACCAGGGATTGAACTCATGCCCTTGCACTTGCCAGGGAAGCATTTATTCCACTGAGGCATCTCCCCAGTCCCGAGAGAAACTATTAATAGCATAACAAAGTGTTGTATTTTATAATCAGAATTTAAAATTAAATTAGGAAAAAATGAAACTTGTTCATTGATAAAAGAGCATGTGTTGCTGTTGTAATGTTTGTCCTGTAAATGCTCTGTCCAGGCAGCCTAAAATAGGTCTGGAGGCCAGAAAGTCCGTGAAGAAGATGCCAGCAGTGTTGGTTTCTTTGACAGCCTCTATCCTTATCCTGTAGAAGATAAACTTCTCAATCTTCCCATGGCTCAGTCTCTGTGCACACTCAAGTCAGTGTCACAACTATTTCCTCCTAGAATAACATCAGTTGTCAGGCACAGGGGCTGGGGGGGGGGTTGATTGCCAGGCCTGCTATGCCAGCCCCACCCCCGGGGTGCGCTGAGACAGCTCTTTAGACTGGGCCTGGTGGCGTGCCCCTGTAATCCCAGCTCTTGGGAGGCTGTAAACAGGTGGATCATACAAGTCTACCTACTAGTGAGACCCTGAACGCTCTGTAGACCTTCCCTAAAATACAGAAAAACAAAACAAACAAAAAAACACATGGTTGTACTGAGTTAGATTTGCTAAAAAGAACTCATTTAAAATTATTAGGCCTTAGGACCTGGGAGATAGCTCAGTAGAATAAATGCTTGCTTGGAAAGTGCAAGGGCCTGAGTTCAATCCCTGGTTCTGCCAAAATAAAATAAAATAAATTGAAAAAATAAATAAAATTATTAGGCCTTGCACTGGCAAGATAGTTCAGCATCTAAAGAGCCTGCTTAGGCAAGCTTAGGCAAGTTCAGGGACCGTGGTTTGATCCCTGGCACCACATGTTGTGCCAGCCCTTCTCCCAGGGTGGGTGAGCTCCCCCCCCGCCCCCTGATCTTTCCCAACCTTGAAATAGAGAGGTTTAGGACTTCAACATATACCATTTGGGCAGAATATAATTCAGAATATTTGATGAGTTCTCAGTGGGCACTGAAAGACAAGAAGCCTGGAAAACACTGTTGACCCTCTGTACTCAAAGGCTCTGCAAACAGATTCATGCAATCACAGCAGGAGAATGTTCAGAAAAATCCATTGTGTTTATGGTGATTATATATACAGTCAAATGCTCTACCCCCGAACTATATCCCCTGGTGACCATATATGAACACTTTTTCAGTCTGGGAAGATGGCTCAGTGGAATAAGCACTTCCCTGGCAAGCACAAGGGCCTGAGTTCAATCCCTAGTTCTGAAAAAAAAAATAAAACAAACAAACAAACAAACAAAAACAAAAAAACCCACTTTAAAAACAAACACTTTTTCTAGTCATTATTCCCTGTGGCATACAGGGTAAGAAATATTTACATAAAATTTGCATTGCGTTAGGTATTTCAATGATGTAGGGATAATTTACAATTTAAAGGAAGATATGTGCAGTTTCTATGCAAATGCTATATCATTTTATGTAAATCCACATCTGTGGATTTGTTCTTAGAACTAGCCCCTTGAGTGTGATGTAGGATGTCTATACAAAGATATTTTGGAAATAAGCCAGATAAAAATTTGAAAGTAACCTATAAATTAGTAAAGTGTACATCAGCATTGCCAAGCTCCAAAAACCTAAGTGTAGAATTTTAATTCATTATTACCAGAAATCATAACTTATCATTCATTTTTTTATTTTGAGTTTTCAATTTCATACATTTAGATATGCATCTAAAGTGTGAATTGAGAAAATCTTTTGAAGCTATTTTGCTTTTGATCCTCTGTGTGTCACCCTGCATCAAGTTGCACTGTCACACTTTTCTATGGTGATAACTGCAGAGTAGCCAGTGGATATGGATTTCATCGCTAAATTGACTCGTTCTTATAATGCATGAAAGATGTTCAATGAACCATTATCTTGCCTCTTTATATCATTTGTGAAAGCCTAGACTCGTTGCTTTTTTATTTAATGCATAAAGGGAAGAACTTAATCCCTCACACAATGATTTGCATGTTTCAGACATTATTAAATCAGAAAGTGCCAGGACTGTATTGTTAATGCAATCGATTAACATAGATTCCTCTCCTGTGTACCAGCAGAGTCCTGGGCTAAAGGCGGAAGACTGATTCGTGGAGAGAGACAGTTTATTTTGCTTCCTCTGCGCTCTCTCTCTCGCTCTCTCTCTCTCTCTCTCTCTCTCTCTCTCTCTCTCTCTCTCTATATATATATATATATATATATATATATATAAAATATATATGTATATATATATATATCGCATGTTTAAAAACATGGTTACCAAAGTGTTTATTCTGTATGTGAAGCTCTGCTTGGTTACTTTTTGTGAGATCCAACAAATAACATGCTTGGTTTTTTTTCCTAGGTTCAAAGCACATGGCTCCGGCAACTGTACCTTTATTGATACCACTGATATAAAGATTACCAGCTGTGATGGAAAAAGAAGATATCTGTGCAGCAGAAAGAGCGAGTGTGCTTAGAATTGCTTCATACTGAGAGAAAATTTTTCATATTTACTGTGTTTTCAGCTCCTTTGGATAAATATTTTTCTTTCCAACATGTCTTAAGTGGGTCAATGAAAATTTAAATAAATTTCACTTAAACGTAGAAGCTTGGGAGTTAAATTGAAAGGCTGGCCAAATAGCTCAGCTGATTAAAGCACCTTTAAGCAGGCACAGGGACCTGTGCCAGCCCCGTCCCTGGGGTGCTCTGAGAGGGAAATAGAGACTGTGTATGGTGATGCAGACCTGGGAGGCTGTAAACAAGCGGATCACTGTGAGTCTGATCTAGTGGTGAGACCCTGAACACCCTGCAGACCCTTCCTTAAAATACAAAAAAAAAAAAATAAAAAAAAAATAAAAAAAAATAAAAAAAAAAGGAATTAAATTGAGTTTCACTTGGTGCTGCTCTACCACTTAGGTTGGTGTGTTTATACCTGTGGTCTGGGAACTAGTTTCTGAGTTATGCATCACTGTAACAGAATCCGAGAGGATGGCATAGGATAGAATTCTACCTTCTGGAATTCAACTAACTCTGCCTAACAGAAGGAAAGGGTTGCAACCTTTGTGAGCATCAGCAGTGCTTCCTTCAGTTGTAGTAGGCTGTGATTCATTTAGAATTTCCAAAAGAAGACCCATGGGAGAAATACTTGCTGCCCACATAACAAACCTGTACTGTCACCAACACTCAGTTGGTCCCCAAATCCTACGCCAGAGCTGTGAGGCAGCAGCTGGCCTTCCCTCTGAGGGCTTGCAGAGCTGGTTCTTAAATGTGGAAATTTTCAAGTGGGGGTTGTCCTCATACACACTGGGCCTGGGCAGTGCTGCAGCTTGCAAGCCCCTTTGGAGAAGTTTGATGGATGAAAATGCTCCCCGGCTCAGTGATCCTGAGGTCACCTGGGAGAAAAGTATAAGTAGAATCTTTTTCTGGTTGAAGTCAGCATCATAAAACAAACTGAACAGAATTCAGTTTTAGTCAACTAAAGCTACATAAGTTTTTTGAACCATTGCATTTCCGAGCTGAGTAAGTATTAAATTGGGGATATTATTCCTAGAAAAACCTCTCTCTCTCTCTCTCTCTCTCTCTCTCTCTCTCTCTCTCTCTCTCTCTCTCTGTCATTTGGTGTGTTTGTCTTTTCATTCCAGTAAGGACAAGATCATTTCAGTATTGCCCTTTCCTTGGAAATAGCTGTTCAAAAGTGAATAAATACTGCCCTACTCTTCAGTAAGATAATCATACTATTAATTTCTATTGGTTCCTTGAGAGGAACAGATAACACAGTTTTTTACAAAAATGGACCAATTTCCCATGCTTTTATCTGGTAATCTGAAAACTACTTTCAAGATAACAGCATGCAATATATAACCATTGTTGATGTCCTATCTTCGTGTTTTGAAATTCTGTATTATTTTGAGTGCTTTCAAAATTTTATTCTCTTTAAAATAACAATGCCTTATAAGATGAAAATACCATTTTTTATTCTTTGAAGAATACAAAATAGTAGTAGAAAAAAATCAACATTAGAACTGATACAAATTATCACTAAATAAAGCAATAAGAATTCAATAATGGTTGCTGTATTATATGATGCTGTCTTCAAATTAGTTGTTCAGGTTATGAGATATAAACATGTAAGATTTGTTTACAGAAAAAACAAAACAATAACAAAAAGTTTTTTAGAAATTCAAAACAAGAAAAAATAAAAATCTTAAGCATGTACTGCTCTTTTCAAATGAGCAGTAGAAATCAACAGTACAATTATCCAAAGTATTCTGCATGTATACCTAAATACATATTTTTCTCTTCTTTCATTCGTGCCTTTCCTCATCTCAGTTTTTCCTTCACACTGAACAAATAGCTTTCCCTTTCACAGCATCTATTGTACCTTTTAATTTTTAATTACTCTCATGTTCTCACACTAATGAAATAATAAGGTGTTTACACCCAGGGATCTGATTTATTTCATTTACCAATGTAGTCTCTAGCTGCATTGATTTATGTACAAAAGCCTTGAATTTATCATTTTATAGCTGCATAATACTCTGTTATGTAAAAATACCATATTCCTTGGTTGATGGGCACTGAAAAGATTATTTATGCATTTATTTATTTATTTTACAGAACTGGGGATTGAACTCAGGCCCTTGCACTTGCCAGCCAAGCACTAATTCTACTGAGCTATCTCCCCGGCCTCAAATATTTCTGTATATAGTCTTTCTTTTTATTTAAAATATTGTTACTTCAAGTCTTTGAAAGAATACAAGTATTATCAGAAAGACTGAGCTATTCAAAATGCTGTGCAGAAGTATAAAACTTTAAAAAGTTATTTGGAAAGAATTTCTAAAAATATATTTAGTAGAGGGTATACAGGATCTCACTTTGTAGATCGGACACCTAATGATTCTCCTGTTTTCAGCCTCCCCAGTGCGGGGATTACAGGCATGCACCGGGATTACAGGCGCGTGCCACCATGCCCAGTCTCATTCCGCGAGACTTGATTGTAGCAAAGTTAGACTTGCCATCCCAGCAGCTAACTTTGCTGTTCAGCACATTCAAGACAGAAAACTTGTTAAATGAACTATTTAAGTTTCAAAAGAAAATAAATCTGGTGCAGGCCTGTCTACCCAGACACGGGGGTGCTCTCTCAAGTTCAAGGCCAACCTGGACAGAGATTCAGTCTCAAAATAAAAATTTTTAAAAGGGCTTGGAATGTAGTTCAGTGATCTCTGGATTCAATTCCCAGTACTAGAAGTAAAAAAGCAAAGAAGAAGGAAAAGAAACCTTTGCGGGCCTTAAAACTCCATTTGTCCTTCTAAATTGAGTTTCATTTCATAGTCTTAAGAAGAGAATCTTTTATTTATTTATTTATTTATTCATTCATTCATTCATTCATTCATTTGCTACAAGATCTCACTATGCAGTTTGGACTCATAGTGATCCTCCTGCCTCAGCCTTCCCAGTGTTGGGATTACAGGCCTGCACCACCATAGGTATGCATTACCACACCCAGTGCATGGCATGCGGTACCCAGGATTGAACTCAGGTCTTTGTGCTTGGCAGGCAGAAGCTTAGATCACTGAGCTATCTCCCCATCTTGAGGATCTTCTTATTTTGATCAGTGTATTTAGCTTCCAGATTCACCCTTGTTTAATTTCATATAACTCAAGATAACCATCTAAACTAAAATTTCCTAAACTACACACTATTGCTGCATTTTAATTCAAATTTATGGGCTGGCCAAATAGCTCAGGGGATGAAAGCACCTGTAAGCAGGCACAGGTGCCAGGAGTTCAATCTCTGGGCCTGCCATGCTGGCCTCACCTCCAGGACATGCTGAGAAGGCAATTGAGACTGGGCGAGGTGGCTCACACCTATAATCCCAGCTCTTGGGAGGCTGTAAACAGGCAAATCATTAGGAGTCTGATCTGGTAGTGAGACCCTGAACACCCTGTAGACCCTTTCCTAAAATACAGGAAAAAAATAAAAATTTATTTATGAAACAAAAATATAAAATATATTATCTACGTAAAAGTTTTTACACGATAGTGTACTTTACAACATAATACTAGAATTGAAATATCTGAAAATTACATAAAAACTCTTGCATGTAAGTAACACAAAACATTATGATTTGACAACTAGGTAATTTTATTTTTAGAAATTTCACCAGTGAAAGATTTACAAATACCGAAGTAAGGAATAAGCAAAATGAAATTTAGGCAAATAAAAAAATTCAAAATCTAAATTTCAATTAAACCTGAACAAAAAAATGAAGTCCTCATGAGAATATAGCTGAAGCTCCAAGTCAGTATGCTATTCAAAATATATAAGAAAGCAGCTGAGTACGGCAGCACACTTTGGAATCTCAGCAAACTGGGAGGCTGAGGCAAAAGGATCACAAGTTGGAGGCCAGCCTAGGCAGCAAGATGAGACCCTGTCTCAAAATAATTTTTTTAAATCCAATTACCTTCTGTGCTCCTACTACAACCATAGGAAGCCCTTCAGTACCTCCAAAGTTAATGAAATCATTCTGTAGAAGTCACCCATACTTCTGTGTTGATTGCAGTACTGTTCACCATAGCCAAGAAAAAAGAATGGATAGAAAAATATATGGTACTTATTCACAGTGGAGTACTCTGCAGCCATAAGAAAAAAAAATGAAGTCCTTTAACTCGTGAGAATATAGCTGAAGCTCCACGTCAGTATGCCAAGTAAAATAGGGCATGGTTTTACTCACAGGTGGATTCTACAATACTTAATTTTACATTGAGAGTACACTGATGTTAATCAGAAACTAAGGGCAGTAACAGAGACAGAGGCATGGGGAGAGGTTGATCAGTGGATATTAACCCACATTTATAGGTAGAAGGAAAAAGTTCTGTTATGCTACTACTATACCATTCAGTAACTCTAGACAATGACTATGGTGTAAATTCCAGGAAGCTATGAAAAAGGATTGGAATGTTATCATAAAAAATGGTAATACCTAGAACAAGCTAAGCAAACCACAGGGACCACGGTTCAATCCCCCAGCACCACATGCCAGCCAGCCCCGCCCCCTGGTGGGCTGAGCTGGCCACACACACACACACACACACACACACACACACACAAATAAAAAAAAAATGGTAATAACTTGAGGATAGATTTGTTTTAATCTAATCAAAACCATATATAATGCATACATATATCAAAATATCACATTGTATCACATAAATATGCACAAGTTTTCTTTTCATGTATCTATTTAAAATAAAAATAACTTAGAGCTGGTAAGATAGCTTAGCAGACTAAGCACCTGCTTAGGCAAGCACAGGGGCTTGGATTTGATCCCAGACACCACATGCCACCCTGGCCCCACCCTGGGCTTGCTGAGCCAGCTACTGAGTCTGTGGTGATGCAGACCTGCAATTCCAGAGATTGAGAGACTGAAAACAGGAGGATCACTAGGAGTCCGATCTGTGTAGTAAGACTCTGTACCAAATATATATGAAAACAAAGTTTAAAAATTTTTTTTCAATTTTTTTTTTTTTTTTTGTATTTACTACAGGGTTTACAGGTCTACAGAGTCTTACTACACAGGTAACACTTGTAGTGATTCTCCTGTTTTCAACCTCCCAAATGCTAGGATTACAGGCTAGTGCCACCATGCCTTGTCTCAATAGCTGTCTCAGGATGCCCTAGGGGCGGGGCCGGCACTACAATTTTTTTTTTTTCTTAAGGAGCATATCATACCTATGGTAACTTAACTGGGATTGTAATGTCTTAAAATCAGACACATAGGCCAATAAGTCAGAGAAATCAGAAAAAAAATGCTCAAGTATGCTTATAAAACAACTAAATTATTGCATATTTGTCAGACTCCTTTTCCTTCATTAGGCTTCATCTGGGTGTTTCTAAATACCATATTGCTCATTAAACACTCATCTTAGATAAACATTGTTACGTACAAGCTTTGCAATGATGCTATGGAGAAAATTAAAGAGAAGTGCACTGAAACAGTCATAAAATGTAAGACAGGGAAGTTTTAGAACTAAGTAATAGTTTAATATTATGTGCCATTTCTGTCTAATTCAGGTACACTCTAATCAGACAATCAAAGGCATTTGGTAGTTTCTTACGCAATTCCTTTGTGTCTATCCTGTATCACACAAATGATAAGGAAAAAGATCTTAAAACTAAAGTAGATAAATATACCTGGTATTTTTGTAAAATTGCTCTCGGAGGCCTCAAGTGGCAAGCTATACATGTAATACATAAAACCAACACTGCGTAAACATAGTTTGGAGGTGAATAGGAAGTTAGTGCCTAATGAAGGCTCATGAATAATCTCTGGAGATCACGATGTTGTGCCCACTCTAAAAGCAGTGTTACTGTGCCGGGGGGATAGCTTGGCACAGGTCTGTAATCCCAGTGCTGGGGAGGCTGAGGCAGGAGGATCACTACAAGTCTAAACTGCATACCAAGACCCAGTACCAAATAAATAAATAAATAAATAAATAAATAAATAAATAAATAAATAAATAAACTGTTTTTAAAAGCAGTGTTGTTATTATGTATTAAAATTATTCAAAGGCAATGAATTATGTGCCTTATTTTAAATATACCTTATGTCATAGTATAAAGAAAACTACATTTAATATAATAAAATGGGAAATAGAAACAAATGAGAGGCCTCTGAACTGGTAATCCATACGTAGAAGAGCAAAAAATAAGGCCATATCTGAAGAATGTAAAGCGATATCAACTTGCCAGTAATGACTTCTGACTATAATTTTCTGACTCCATGTGTCCGATGCTAAATCTCTGCTTTCTCCTTGTTAAATGGTCTCATGCCGAATTTTTCTGATCAAGTGTGAAAAGACAGTGGCAGAAGCTGGAAGAATTTGCTGGAGTAAACCTGAAACCTAGTTTTTATTTGATGTGTACTATATACCTAATAGCATAGAAATAGAATATGTTTTCAGTCAAAATTATTGTCTGAATGAGAGAAATAAATAACAATGACCAGAAGTTCGTTATTTCTAATGAATTTATAATTCTTTAGGGAAAATTCCTAAAGAATCTGGTGCTTCACTGAGAATTTCAATCTACTTCAACAGCTTATGGCAATGGGCAAAAGAAAATTGGTGGGCTAGAAAATAGGTACGTGGACATGATTCTCAGGGTTAGAAAAAATCTAATGACATTTTTCAGGAAGTTCGGGGCATTGCTTGGAAAAATAACATATGCAGAATGGAAATCTAAGACATGAGGGTGTGTTTTAGGGGCAAGAAGAGCAAAACATCTAAAAACAATAGTTGAAGTTGACCGGATTTTGTGAGAAATGTGGAAGTTCAAACTCCTGAAAACAAAAAGTTTCCTAATAGGTTAGATCAGAGAAGGTCTACACCAGATACAAGATAAAGTAAAATACGGAGAGTGCTATGGAGGCTGCAATAGAAAAATAACTCATACCATAAAAGGAAAGACTTTGCAAAAAATAAAGTAGATTTTTCTAAACAAATATTACAGAACAGGAGATAGTGAACTAAGGCAATAAAATTTTTGAAAGAAGAAAACAAAAACAAAAACTATTGACCAAAAGTGCTACAGACTGCAGAGCTATCTTGCAGAAATGGAAGCATAAAAACTTTACCCAACAAAAGAAGGCTGAAGAAATTAACCACCACTAGCCTTATCTTACAAAATTTTAATAAGATTTCTTCAATCAAAAATTAAAAGGCAGGGGGCCTGCCCTGTAGCTCAGTTCTTTAAATGGCTGCTTCAGCAAAACAGTCAGGCTCAGGTTGCTGTGGTTCGATCCCCACAAATCAAGGCAGTCAAACCTGTCCTGAAGGCATTCGGAGCAAAAAAAAAAAAAAAAAAAAAAAAAAATTAAAAGGCAGGGCCATCCAGATAGCTCAGCAGACTAAAGTGCCTGCTTAGGCAGATATAGGGACCATGGTTTGCTCCTCAGCATTCTGTGTCCTGTCAGCCCTGCCCCTGGGGTGTGATGAGACTGCAGTTGAGACTGGGAGTGGTGGTGCATACCTGTAATCTTAGCACTTGGGAGGTTGAAAACAGAAGGATCACTGTGAGTTCCAGGCTGTGTAGTGAGACCCCATAGACCCTGTACTAAATACATTTTTTAAAAAAAGCAATTAAAGGCAATAAAAAATTGAAACACATTAATTAAAAAGTACTAACATGTGCAAGTATAAAATTTACAGGTAAAGGTAAAAACAGTCAAATTCAGAATTTTTTAATGTTTTAGTCAGCACTCATAAAACAGAATTCCAGTGGAAAATTTAAAAAAATACATAAATAACTATAAATAAACATTAAGAATGTTATATGCAATAAAAATCATTTTCAACACAAAATAGTGTATATTAGATGAAATAATTCATGTGAGTTTCATTGTAACCATATAGAAAACACCTATAGTTGCACAAAACCAGAAATGAGAAAAGAAAGCATATAACTCAAAAAGTCTCCAAATAAGAATATGAACATGGAAAAAAATAAACAGAAGCAAAGAAGCAACAATACAAGAACACAATAATCAAAGTGGAAATAGTCCTGTATCTATCTATGATTATACTCAATAAAAATGAATTAAATTCACAAATAACAGCATATTATGGAAGCATTTATTTTTTTTTTAAACAATTCAAATTCTTCCTACCAAAAACATGCTCATCCTACTTTACAGACAAATGTATGCTAAAACTGAAAGGGCAGAAAAAGGCATCATCACTTGGATTAGGATTTGTGGTCAGCTGTGCCCCCAAAGCTCATGCATTTTTAGATTGGGCCTTTTTGGAGAGCACTGAATCTAGAATTCATGATTGATTCCTGGTTCAAAGCAAGGATTAAGGGTGCTGGGATTAAGGGATCTGGGATTAAGGGTGAGTGATTGCTAATTGGATTGACACTGCCTTAATCCCAGTAGATGGGATGCCACATGAGACAGAAAGATGCTTTTGTCTCTTCCTCTGTTGTTGCTTTTGCTGTCTTCTGCTCATCATAAATTGCTGTTCTCTGTGAAGCTGCCCTGTCTTAAAGCCAGCATCAATGGACTGAAACCTCCACAAACTGTGAGCTATGTAAACCTTTCCTCCTTGAACCTTGGGTGTTAAGATAGCTTTTGCCCAAGCAACAAGAAAAGTAACTAAGACACCATGAAAAGCAAGGAAAAATTAAAAAAAAATTTATTCAAAATATGTAAAAAGAAACCAAAAACTTATTATATAATGATAAAAATATCATTTGGCAAGAAGCTATATCAACTACAAATAGTTAACTAAGATCAAAGCTACCTAAATGCGTGGCACAAATACTACCAGCACCAAAACAAAAAATGATCGGTAAGATAATAAAAGGCATCAGTATAGCCCTCTCTCAACAACGGATAGAACAAATGTTCTAGTGAGCAACTCAATAAAAAAGGACACACTTGAAAATACTGTAGAACAAATGGACTTAACAGAGAAGTTCAGAACATTCCATCCAACAACAGAATGCTAGTGTCTTTCTCAAGCACACGTGACATTCTCCATGACATCCTATGTTACGTTACAATCAAGACTTAACATGTTCAAGGAAACTAATGCCGTCTTTCCTGACCACATTGATGGTGTAAAACAAGAAACTGTAACAGAATAAAGTTTGAAACTCAATAGATAGGTGAAAGCTAAAGAACAATTTCCAGATCAAATTATAGATCAAAGAAACTGAAAGAATTAAAAACTATTTTGAGGCAAATTAAAACAGAAACTTTGAACATTGCTTATAGTACAGAGAAAAACTGGACCTAGAAAGATCTACATAAAATCACCCTCAAATACCCTAACTGTGTACCTGAAAGAATGAGAAATTACCAAGGTTGAAGCTAGTAGAAGAAAATAAGAATAGCATCTATGTTACAGTGGGAGTCCAAAGAAACAATGGGAAGACTGGATGAGTAGAGCCTCAGAGATCTCACTGAGCCTTATCTTGTTCTAAGTGAGCCAGAGCCACTGAAGCTTCTCACCTTTGTTGAGGGCTACAAACAGGCTAAGAAAAGTGGCTAACTAATTGGCTGTAAATAAGCTGTTATTTACATTGCTTTAGTGTTCACCAAATTCTAAGTTTACAAGTCAGTAGTTGGTCATGTCCCAGGTAAAGGAACAAAGAACGGACATGGTTCCCCCTCCAGGAATCTGTAACCTTCTCCCAGTTTGCCAGTGTCCTTAGGCTCTGTTCTTTGCTCCCTCTGGACAAGAAGCTTCTGACTCACATCACTACAAATAAAGCAGAAATAAGGTCTCAATCACTAAATAAAATTTTACTAAGAAATAAAAGGCTATTGATAAATTCAATACGGAAGAACAAACATTTGTTTTCAGAGTCTGTAATATTTCAAGACATGTCCAGATTTCTTTTAGAAGGCCAGCATTACATGAGTAGGAAAGTCAGAGAAGAACACAAGAAAAAGCGAATATGCCTGATACGTGCAGATGCAAAAATTGCCAACAAAATACAAGCACGTTTATTTTTCATAGTAAAAGGATTACCTGTCATGACCAGGTAGGGCTTATCCCCAGGGTGGAGGAATTAGAAACTGCTGCAAGTTAGCCAGCAGTATAGACTACTGGAAGAGAATGAAGACTAAAAATTACATGTTAAGTTCAATAGATAAGGAAAAACAACAAAATTTAACATACATAGATAATAAAACTCTTAACAAAATAGGAGCATAAGAATATATTTCAAAGCCAAAAAGACTGTGTGTCTCAAGACTTTTCTGTCATTGCTGGGACAAATAACCAACACTCAAAATGAAGGAAGGAAAGGTTTATTTAGCTCACAGTTACTGGAGGTTTCAGTCCATATTAAGCTGCCTCCAAGGCAGAGCAATACATGCAGAGAACAACCTTTTGGTGGCAAAGAGCAAGAGCGAGAGCAAGGGAGAGGTAGCAGCAGCTCAAGCCAATAGCTTCTCTTCACACCTTACATTATAATGCAAATTACCTGCCCCAGGGAAGGTGCAGCATCCACACCCACAATACTCAATCACCAAACTCCAAGAGCTACCCCAAGACTGCATGAGGCTTTATGGGGGAAACCTATATACAAACCACAACACCATGTATGATAAATTCACAGACCACATCATATACAGGTGTGAAGAGTTCACATCTTTCCTCTAAGCAGCTTCCCTGCTTCTGTTCAGTATAGTAGTATCTATAGTAGTAGTCCAAGCCAGAGAAATTAGATAAGGAAAATTAGTCTTCAAATTCTAAAGGTGGAAAAAGAATTGTTTCTTTGAAAAGGATATAATCTTATACATAGAAAACAGACTCCCTATGCACATGCCAAAGCACATGCATAGCCATGCAAATAGACATTTGTATGCACACAAAGTTTTAGACCTAGTAAATGCTTTCAGGATTGATATAAACTAAACATTATGGAGTCGGCTGCAGTTCTATGTACTATCTTAAAAAGATAGCATGCACTACCTTAAAAAAGAAGCAAAACATCTATTTCCAAGACTGTCAACCAGAACAAAGTGCCCAGCAATACATTTCACCAAGCAGGTGAAAGATTTGTAAGCTGAAAACTACAAAACGCTACTAAAAAAAATTTACAGACTCCTAAGGTTCCATTCAAAAATCTGTAAAAATGACCTTCATCCACAGGCCACCATTTCAATTTCACCGTCTCCTACCAGGTTCCACCTCTTAAAGATTCTATTTCTGAACTAAAGACCAGGGCTTAGGAAAGAACAAACTGGTCCAACCAATTGGGTAAAATAGAATGTTTTTCAAAATCTAAAAACACAACTGTCTTATGATCCAGCAACTCTACTTCTGGACATATAGCCTAGAATAGTAAAATCACTCCCTAGAAACATCTTTACTCCCAAGTTCAGTGCATGAGCACGAACACACACGCGTGCGTGCACACACACACACACGCGCGCGCGCACACACACACACACACAAATTTTGGCCTCCTCAAAACTGCAAGAGGCGATTCCCTAACAAGAAATATCTATTCTGTTATACCATAGACAGAGTTTTATCCTTTGGCAATATAATAAGATACAATAAACACAATAATTTCACTTTATTGTAACTAATAAAGTCTACCCTACCACATTTGTACCGTAACTCCTAAGTTATTAATTGTAGGCTAAGTATAGCAGCTTTCTTCTAAACATCATACTGGGATAAAGGAAAATAAAAGAAATAGTTTTCTTATGGAGAAAACTGACTACCCTGGAGAGGTGGTAGATAGAGAAAAATTATTTGGATAACATATATCCCTGACATCATGAGATAAAATAGTGTTTTACATCTGTAGTACTCTTTCACTAATGTATTTTTGGTACCAGGAATTGAACTCAGGACCTTGTGCTTACTAGGAAGGCTCTTGTGCCACTCAGCTGTATTCTTGTATTATTCCTTTAAATGACCAATAACTCCAATAAAATCAATAGAAAAATATAGTATTTTAATAGAGGGGTAACAATATAACAGAGCAGTATTCCTCAAAACTACAGTACCAAGTTCATCAAAAACAAGAAAATTCAGAAAAAATTACCACAGCAAAATGGAACCTAAGAGACCTGATTACTTCATGGAAGAGGGTGGCTGGGATGTGTTTCTAGTATGGAAAAAGAGGTCAGGTGAAAATTAAGCAAAACATCTATTTCCAAGACTGTCAACCAGAACAAAGTGCCCAGCAATATTAAGTTCCAAATATTTCAGGAACTTAACTGATCCTACGTCTGTATTGGTACATTAGTTTTTTTTTTTTCAGTAAATTTTTGTGAGTTTATTAGTTAAAATACAAATGGAACTTCTAAAGTTTTTTTACTACAGAATCTCTTAATAGGGTTTCTTCTTCATTTCCTTAGGTTTCCACCTGAGTGGTACAGTAACCGAGCCAGCCACTGCTTCTGAACCAGCAATGACTTACAAAGTTGCAATCAGTTTTGATCGATGCAAAATCACTTCAGTGACATGTGGCTGTGGAAATAAGGACATATTCTACCGTGCACATGTGGTAGCACTATCACTGTACAGAATCCGTAAACCAGACCAAGTCAAATTACGTCTTCCTATCTCAGAAACTCTTTTCCAGATGAACAGGGACCAGCTACAGAAGTTTATTCAATATTTAATCACAGCACACCACACCGAAGTTCTTCCTACTGCACAGAAACTGGCAGATGAGATTCTTTGCTCCAACTCAGAAATCAACCAAGTGAATGGTAATTGTACATTATTCTTGCTAAACATAGGCTATACACTTAAGACTTTGAAGTTTTCAGCTACGTGTAGCAATGTATGCCTGTAATCCTAGCACTCTGAGAAACTGAGGCAAAACGATCATAAGTTTGAGCCCAGCCTGGGCAATTTAACAGTTGAATGACATTCTATCTTAAAAGTGAAAATAAAGGTGGTATAGTAACTTAGTATGGGGGACTTAAGTTCAATTCCCCAGAACCAAAAATCAATGTTAATTCTCATAATTTATAATACAGTTTAAAAAAAAGTTGGTTAATTTAATGTGTGTGTATGTACTTGTATATACATCTGTATGTATAAGACAAAAACTGAAAGGAAACTTAGTATGGCATTAAAAATAGTAATCTATGATTGGTAGAATACAGACGGATTTTCTTATGTCTTAGTGTAATTTATATAAAAATAATTTCTAATAATTTGTAATTTCTACAAAAATACAAGTATGTATTTTGTATGTTTTTATAATTTTAAAAAGGTTCTTATGCCTGAAAGAAAAGCTGTTTCTTTAGATTTAATAGGTCCAAGACAAATCTCATAAATTATAACCTCAATCCACACAATGCTTTGTTTTATAGTTATTTATAAAAGACATACTTTCCATTTTATTTTCATATATCACCACTTCTCCTATGCTTTTAAGGAAAAATTTAGACATTAATCTTAAAGTGTCATTTACATTTACTTTACCACTACTAAAAAGTAAGTAGTTTCATTACTTCTTTTTATGGAAAAATTAGACTTCTAACAAATGAGCTTGTATATGGACATTCTATTTTATTTTTATGTATTTAGTACAGGGTTTACAGGGTCTCACTGTATAGATCAGACTCATAGTGATTTTCCTGTTTTCAGCCTTCCAAATTAATCTAGGATTACAGGTGCACAGCACCACGCCGAGCCTCAATCACTGTCTTAGCGCACCCTACATTTGCCTAAGCAGGCGCTTTAATCCACTGAGCTATTTGACCAGCCCTTTTCTGAGGCAGGGTCTCTCACTATGTAGTTCAGGCTCTCCTTGAACTCACTTTGTCTCCCAGGTTGGCCTCAAACTCACGATGATCTTCCTATGTCAGCTTCTCAAGTGCTGAGATTATAGGCATGTGCCACCACAGTTTAATTTAATTCTTTTATTTTAAATATTTTTTTAAAAATTTGATACAGAGCCTTACTATGCAACTCAGACTCATAGTGATCTTCCTCTCTCAGCCTCTCCAGCACTGGGATTATAGGTATGCATCACCACGCCCAGTTTCAGTGGCTGGCTCAGCATGGGCCGTGGGGCAGGCATAGCGTGCAGTACCAGCGATCAAACCCAGGTCCTTGCACTTGCCAGGCAGGCCCTTAGACTGCCAAGCTATCTCTCAAGCCCTAATTTAATTTTCAATGAAATTTTTTTAAAAAGATTTGGCTGAAGTTAGTGAGGGACAGCTGAAGAAGCCTATTTGTGAACTCTAGATCTAGTTTATCTAGTTAAAGCGTTCTGTGGTTTTGTTCATTCATTCTTAAATACTGTCCCCTTTTCTACTATCTGACCTTTGCATGTTGATATTTCTTACTTTTTACTTCTTACTTTATATGATTTCTGTAGGCAATATCAGCTACTTCCCTGATTTCAAATATAATCTATATACTGCGACTTACAGATTTATTACTCCAGTTCAAAACCTCCCAAGTTTTAAACTATATCCACCTGTTTCACACCATGGAGACATTGCAGTACCAACATATCCTAAAATGAATTTATGTTCTTCTTTCCCAAACTCGCTTACCCTCCTGTGTCCACTAGTCAACAGCTAGCACCACCATCTGTCTAGTCACTGGATCATGATAAGAACCTTGTAGCCACCCTTAGGCCCTTTTTCTTTCTTATAGTACACATGCATCCCAGTGATAGGTCTCTTATCCTGTTTCATAGTTTTCTGCTTCTCTCAATACTGCTGTCACCCTGAATCAAACCACTGTAATATCTCACCTAGTTTGCTACATAGCCTTTTAACTGATCCTTTCATATCCGCTATTGCTTTCCTCTATTTAGTTCCCCTTACAGCCACCTAAAGTGATTTTTCTATAACTACAGAAGTGTCATATCACTTCTTGTTTAAAGTCCTTTAGTAGCCTCCTGTTACCATTAGGATAAAGTTCCAAATTTATGGCCCACAAAATGTTCCTTAATCTGGCCTTTTTGCCTACATTTTCCCTCCTTAAGGCAATACCTTTTTCCCTGTCTTCTCTCCCATTCTTTCCTTTTCCCCTTAATACAGTTGTACTTAACTAACAATATAATTTCTGATGCCATGTTTGTTTTCTTTGAGGTACCGGGGATTGAACCCTGGGCCTGTGCACTGAGCTATATCCAAGCCCCTTTTTATTGTAGGTCACGATCTTGCTAAATTGCCCAAAATAGACTAGAATTATGATCCTCCTGCCACTGCTTCCTAGAGTCCTGAGATTACAGGTGTGCCTCACCATACCCAGCTCTTCATGATTTTTTTTGAACAAAAAAGTACATTTCCACTGCTCTGTGACAGATTCATTTATTCCTCAAGTTTCCAATTAAATGTCACTTTTTCTCAGCCTTCTTTGACCTTTCTTTCCACAGAAAAAATTAAAATAATATACATGGGGGTGAAAGGTGGGGAAATAGCTCAGTGGTAAAGCACTTAGTACTGTATACAAAGTCCTGGGTTCAATCCCCAGCATCTTCCCCACCCAACAAGTATAAGTGATTATTTGCTTAATGTCTGTCTCCTCAGTCTGTTAGCTCCATGACAGGGACCATATCAGCTTTATTCACCACTATATTACTACTGTTTAGTACAGGTTCTGTTATATATCAGGTTCTCTGTAAATATTGATTAAATAAATAGAAATGTCTTAGTCCTTTGCAAGTCTTCTTCCAGTTCATGTTCTTCTCAGATGATTTTTTAAAATGTATTTAGTACAGGGTCTACAGGGTCTCACTATATAGATCAGACTTGTAGTGATTCTCCTGTTTTCAGCCTCCTAAATGCTGGGATTACAAGCACGCACCACCATGTCCAGTCTCAATCCCCATCTCAGTGCACCCAGGGGGTGGGACCAGCACAGCACACCAAGGGTTGAACCCCAGCCACTGCACTCTGCCTAAGCAGGCGCTTTAATCTGTTGAGTTATCTGGCATCACCCATCCTAGGTGATTTTGATTGCCTCAACAGTCACATGGGTTCCTTCTTATTTACTCTCTGGACTCCCAAATATTGATTCACTTTCTTTTTTGCAACAGCTACCCATTTTGGCAGCTCAGTTTCTAATCTATTAGATCCACTGTAGACCAGCAAACATTTCAACATTTACCTTTCTTTCTGTCCTATCAAGTAAGCAATTCCTTTTGAAGTTTTAGGTGAATTTTTGTTCTTAGTAACTCTCAAGGCTTTGTCTTATCCCAGAAAGGTTCTCTAGCTGACACTGGATATTTATAAATTGCTGCTGTGACCACCACTGCACAGCTGTCATAGTCTTTAAAAGCCTTAAGAGTGAATGTCATGCCACACTTCTAGCAAGTTGATTAAGGCCTGCTCTTCTGGGATACTGAGTCCCATTCCTGCTTTTTCATATCCTAATTCAGTCATCCAAGGGTGAAAGTTGATATTCAAACCACCTCTGTTCTCTGCTTTTGGAACACTATTGCTGTTCTTTCCTAACCCGTGTCCTTAGCTCCAAGGTAATGAAAAACCCAGTCCTTTGTTTAACTAAGTTCATCTAGATTCTATCTCTAGTGAGCTACTGAAAAACAGGATACTTACTGGTAAGCCTTTATGACCTGTATTTTGAACACAAATCTCAAATGATTATTCAGTATGTTAACATTTGAGAATCACTCTACTGGTGAGAACTTTTGTTTATCCTCATATGGGAAAAATGCATTATTCTAACTAACACTGTAGTTTATGTAATAGGGTAATACAAGAAAGTATGAGATTTGGCAGTCTTGACACACACCATCAACTGACATTCAGAGGACTGAAACCAGGTGCTGGATCACAGTAGCATGGGGCTGGAAGCAAAAGCATGTGTAGACTTGTAGGGAAAGGCACAGGCAGGAGAGAGCAGTGCACAGGTTCTGGCTTATATAATTTCTATCTGTTAAGTTACTTGCCCTTTCTAAACTTTACTTTCTTCATTTCAAACCAAAGGTAATAATACCACCATAGAGTTTTAAAGACGTTTCCTTGAAATTTACTCAACATGTGGTAGGCACTTTTCTCCATATTATAAATATATCTACAAACAAAATTATCTGCCCTCAATGAGCATACGGTCTGGTGAACATATGTGTGTGAAGTGCTTAGCCTCTCACATGTAGGATGGATTCAGAGACTGGTTTTTTTAAACAAATATATAAGGATAAGGGGGTTTGCATTGTCATTTTCAGAATACAAAAGAAGTCCAGATGGTTAATAAAAACATATTTCTTTTATTCTGTAAAAGAACTCAGTACTATGAAGTATAAATGTTAGCACAATAGTATAATGAACCAGGCAGTATGAGGTACAAAAATGAATTGCTCTTCTTAAATTTTTTTCAGTTTACTTAGGAATACATAGCAAGTGTACAATTCTAAAGTAATATAAAAGATAGCAGAAATAATAATAAAATGCACGATAGAATGTATTGCCTTTGTATGTTGAACAAATGAATATAAGAAGAACATATTTCAGGAATGGTGTATATAGTAATTTAGTGAGAGAATAAAAAAGGTCCTATCTGAGGGAGTTGGCAATACATGGCCCTCAGCAGTGGTAGCCTCACTGAATTGTTACCGTTGTCATTTCTCATTATGATCCTGACTCTAGAGTTATGATGCAAATGATTGACTTTTTATATAAATAGTATTATTACTTTCATTATTATTACTTTGTCAGGCTGAAGTGAGTATTTGGAAAGTAAAGGAGAAATCATAAAGCACAGGAAATGTGGTTGATTTCTGGGAACACTGATTCTGGTTGAAGCTTACCATCAGTATAAGGAAAATAAAGCTGAAAGTGAAAGATGGGACCAAAACTTAGAGGGCTTTAGAGTGCCAAGCTAGGGCATTGGGACTTACTTTAGTAACAACAGAGCATCATTAGATCAGGGAAATTATACAGTAACTGTGTTTAGGATAAAAATTTGAAGAAAAATAGCATAGAATAGATACCATAAATTGGAAGATCATATGTGTTAATTAGAATTTGTGGAATGAATGAATGTATTATCCTTCCTCATCTCCTGGAGAGTAAGACACGTTAAAAAGCTTAACAGAGGAATAGCAGGGTTTTTTTTCCAGTCCCAAGATTTCACTTAAGCAGTGCTCTGACATGGGCAGGCAAGGAAAAAGGTAGACTAATTGAAATAGGATATGAATGTACACCTATTACATGATTACACTTAGTTATTGACTTATGGTCTATTGTCACTTGGATGCAGGTTTCTAAATACTTGTAACCACACTCTATCTGTAAGACGGTGAGAGAAAAAGATTCCATTTTCATTCCAAAAAATATTTCTGAAATACCTGTCATATTACCAGCATCACACTACAAGTGATCCAGCTGTGGATTGAACTGTGAGCATCAAGCTAGTAGGTTACTAGAAAACAGGGATGTAGTAAATAGCAGCTGTGTTTTAAGTGGTGTTGTCAAGGTGAACCCAGATATGAAAGTTAATTTGAGTACAAATTTATAAAATTGTATCATCCTATGTACAACCCTGCCTGTACTTTAAACAGTAGTTTCATAGTAAACTTTAAATATAGAAAATTTTATGTCCTAAGAAAGTATTTTTAGCTTTAAAATAATACATGTCTGAAAAGCAAAAGCAAGAAAAGCAATGTCCTTCACTAGGGAAAAAGTGGATCACTATTTTCCTGCTGTCTTGAGGATACAGAGAAAAAACAAACTCAGTTTTTGCTAACATACTGTTAGAACACTTCTGTGACCAAATATGTGGAGATTTTTCCCCACACACTGGAAAAAAAAATTCTGTAAAAGATATAAACTGCATATCTTCTAATCCAACTCAGTTCTGACACTGGCTACCTAAGACAGCATATGATCTGACAGGTCGGGGTCTCAGTGCCCAAGACCATTCCTCCCCCACTTCCAGTTTCACTGTAAAGAAACCTCCCCATGTTCTTTGGAGTTTCTATAAATCTTGCCCTGTGGTCTTTTATGGACTGTTTTTTTATTACAGAGCCCTTATTGATTAATTTATTGGCCGATGGTGATCAACTTAATCTTCAATCTCTCTGCCTTTCTACGGGCATAAGACTGAAAGTTCCAACTTTCTGAATCTGCCTTGATGAAGAGCAGCACCTATTCAAAAGCTTTCTAGGGGCTACCATTAGTCAGCTCATTAACATAAAAAGATAAGAATTTATGCAAGTTGTATGCCAGAAAACAAGACAAAGACCAAATACATATTTCATATTATCATGTATATAATTCTTTCCAGGGTCTTTTCCCTTAGTACCATCTAAGGATACCTTAGGAAAAGATACAGTTGTGACATACCTGAACATGAAACAAGCCTTAGATTCATACATATTTAGGTTCCAAGTTGACAAAGCCCATATTAAAGCAGAATAACTTATGTGCATTTGAATATGCTCACACAGTGCCCCTGCAGACACATGTGTGACATGTGATCTCAGGGGATTCATTTCACTGTTCCCATACCTCACAGGTGCCCCTGACCCAACAGCAGGGGCAAGCATTGATGATGAGAACTGTTGGCATTTGGATGAAGAACAGGTGAAAGAACAAGTGAAGCTCTTTCTCTCCCAGGGGGGCTACTATGGCTCTGGAAAGCAACTCAACTCAATGTTTGCCAAGGTAAGATATAAAAAGGTAGGGGCTGGGGAGATGGTTCAGTAGAATAAGCGCTTCCCTGGCAAGCGCAAGGGCCTGAGTTTAATCCCCATTCTGCCAAAAAAAAAAAAAAAAAAAAAAAAAAAAAAAAGATATAAAAAGATTAATTGGTTGGTTGGTGGTTAGTTTTAAACTTTAAGAAAACTAGATTCACTAGACTTCTGGCTTCATACATTGTGCCTAACTCACTTGATCTAGTAGCACTGAATGCCTGAAATCTAGTAGGAGGCACTAAGTAAAGCAAACCTGAACAGCTGCATCTATGAGTCTCAAATACTTCACTCTGGGGGTCTTGCTCCTCGTGCTATATTCTCTGAATAAGCTAACATCTTGAGGAAGTTTAGTACAGAAATTGACTTCTGGGGCCGGGGAGATAGCTCAGTAGAATAAGTGCCTGCCTGGCAAGCGCAAGGTCTTGAGTTCAATCCCTGGTACCACACCAAAAAAAA